TATTATTTGCTTGTTTTGTTTCAACAATCCTGCTGTCCTCCACAGTGTACCAGGCAGATCCTGTCAGAAAAGCTGGGTCGAGGCTCGCGGACCGTGGACCTGGAGCTCGAGGCCCAAATCGAAGTCCTCCGTGACAACAAGAGAAAGTACCAGCATGTGATCAAGCTGGCTCAGATGCTGGCCAGTCAGCTCTCACAGATCATGCAGACACAGAGGCAGCTGGGAGATGCCTTCGCCGACCTCAGCCTCAAGACACCGGAACTCCACGTGAGTCCCCATAAAATCTGAAAACCGCCAGACTGGATTTAATACAGTTTAAAAAAAAATCCTACAGAAGCTATTGGCTTGTGATCCGTCTGAGGGCTCTGAGCTTTCTTTGGGTTTTTGAGGTATGTCAAACATGAAGCCAAAATTTTCAGTGTTGTGAAGGTGGTTCTGCTTCAGAGTGTCTAGATCACCATAGCAGCTCATGCTCAACATATAACCGTGTCCAGAGGCTATGAGTTTAATTTTACATTTTAAAGATGCTTTCAGTACACAAGCAGATTGGTTTTGCGTGTGTGATTTTAATTAATTCGTTTTTTTAAATGAATATCTGCTATGAGTGAGATATAGATCATCTAGAGCCATATCTTACTGACATCACAATAAGTCCTTCTGTGACGTTACAGCAGCACAACCGGTCTATGTTGCATTGGCGCTGTAATTTGCATGTCTCCAGTGACGCAGGAAAGCCATTAATATGTTTTTCTGCTTGCTCCTCCTATCCTGCTGCGTCTGTTTTGCATCGTTGAATCTGCAGCTTATAAAACACAGATCAGAAAACTTGATCGGCAAGATTGGATCCCATTTCACTTTGACCTGGTCTCTTTCAGAGCGCTATGGGACAGCGTCAGACCTGATATGAACTGAGTAGCCTTTAATTTTCATGCCGTTTTTTGTATGAAGTTTGAAGCTCTGATGATTAGAGATCCAGTTAGAAGTAAACAGTAGCAGTGGGCAGTAAAGTTTTTCTGCAGCAGTACTGTTGCTTTCTTGAAATATTTATTCATTCATTCATTTATTTTCTATAGACCTTGATCAGCCATTATCCTCTTATGTCCTTTTGTGCAGAAGTACAAAAACACATCAAATGCCCGCTGCATTAGAGACTGAGTTAACAAAGAGAGGTTCAGAACCCCAGTTATTATACAAATTGTGATATTCTTTTAGGTCATATTTGTTGTTTTACTTTCTAGTATTTAGAGGTATCTTATGTGACAGCATGCACACATTAGTTAACCTCCTAAGACCCGAACTCTTCCACGGCATGCATTTTTAATTTCTCTTTGATATTTGGGCATATTGGGACCAGATGAATGTAAAAACAAAGAATTACCAGTTTTGTTTTGTTTTTTAGCCTATATTTTTGTTTCTAAGAAAAATGAGAGCCACATATGAGGATATTTGTTTAAAAATATGTTTAAAATTTCGATAGAACAGTAGCAGTATATCCTCGTAAGTGGATATCAGGCGCTTGTAGAGCCAAATTGAATATTTTGGTCTAAATAACCCAAAATGTGGTGTCCAAATATGTGGACGCCAGGTCCTAGGAGGTTAAGAGTTGTCCACCATTATTGGATGTGATACACTGGTTGCTAGGGAACAATGTGTATTCCCTCGACTGAAACCAGTGCTTCTTTTTTCAGGTTGCTTTCGGTCACTGGTTGAAATCAGAAAGAAAGAAGTTGGTTGTTTGCCAGCAGTTTGCCACAGCTGAATGTAGTTTTTACGGTATTGTCGCACCGCCGGGTGGGCGGCGTGGAAACCTAAGTTTGTGAATGCGTGAAGCTTGTAGTATTTAGTTATGGTGGTGATTATTCATCTTTAGAGGCTGCGGTTTGGGGTCATTTGAAAAAAGTGAAATCAGAGCTCTTTATTGCATTGTGTAATGCTGAACTTCAATAAGTTAATTGAACTTTCACGATGCCTTAAGTGGGCATTTTTCAAAATAAGTTTGTGTGTTAGTCGATTAAATTTGTGGAAGGTCACAGCTTAAACCCGTGTGTTTAAATTTTAGCCAGATTCATTGTTTTTTATATATTGGTGCAATAAACACAAATAATTGTGCCTGTTCTTTTCAGGAGGAGTTTGGATACAACGCTGAAACCCAAAAGCTGTTGTCCAAAAACGGAGAGACGCTGCTGGCTGCCATCAACTTCTTCATCTCCAGTGTGAACACGCTCGTGGACAAAACAATCGAAGACACCATGATCAATATCAAACAGTATGAAGCTGCAAGGTAATGTGCACACAGGCTTAGTTCTACTTCTGCACCAAACAGACTTTTATTTAATCGTGAGACACAAAGCTTTGGCTGGACGCCCACGGAAACGTCTTTCTCTAAAGTTCAGACATATAAGTTGTGTTTGATGAAACCATTTTAATTAAAATGGACAGTTTTAATTTTGGACAAATTTAATTGTGTTTAAGCTGCTGCCGGAGATTCAGGTTGTTGAGGTTGACAAACAGACTCAAGGACAGCTTTTACATCAGGGCAATATTTAATAATACATTTATGATGCACTAATGTAAAACATTTTTTTTTTTTGTACAAAAATTATTGTTGATTCAGTTGACGCAGTTTGCGTTTTTCTGATGTGGTTTATATATTTAAACACTCCTAGGGTTGAGTATGATGCATACCGTACAGATCTGGAGGAGCTGAATCTGGGGCCGCGTGACGCCAACACCGTGCCGAAGATCGAGGTGTCTCAGCAGGAGTTCCAGACCCACCGCGAGAAATACGAGAGGATGCGAAATGACGTCTCCATTAAGCTGAAGTTCCTGGAGGAGAACAAGGTTGGTTAGATGCTAGCTCGCTCTACATATCAGAGGCCACGTGTTAACTTTCAGCTAATTGTGTCGCTTTTTCGTTCCTGTTGTCTCAGGTGAAAGTTCTGCATAATCAGCTCATCCTGTTCCACAATGCCATCGCTGCATACTATGCTGGAAATCAACAGCAGCTGGAACAGACACTCAAGCAGTTCCACATCAAGTTGAAAATGCCAGGCGAGGACAGTCCATCTTGGCTGGAAGAGCACTAATCATTCCTTTTCAAAACCTTTTTGGCTCCATTTGACAGGACATGTCAAATTTACAGAGAAACTACAGGAGCTTTCTTCCCTCTTTAACGCTATTCTCGCTGCTTTTCGAACTTTGAGAACTGTAAATGAAAATAATGCAAAAACGGAAAAAAAAACTCCCACATTCCATTTTTCTTTGTTAAATCGTTTTCCTTCTTCTTGGTTATTTCAGATCATTAAAATACGCACTTTTGCACTGTTTGACAGATGTGTCAAACAGATGTTGCTGCAGTAAACGCGTTTGGAAACTCTACATGGCCTTTTGTATTCCAGCGTATGATTGTTGTATCCCAGCACAGTGGACATGTTGGCTTTGTAAAGTGGGGCAGCTATGGGATCGAAACAACTGCCGTTTTACTCACATTCTTTATACTGCTCTTATCAGCCGATGAATGCTTTGTGAAAGATAAGCAGGAAGCTTTTTTTTTTTTTAAATGCAAATCCTTTAATGAATTGGTCAATTTTACCCACAAACTCTGATTAAAGTGGTAGTTTGATATTTTGGGAATTTGCTCTGTCCTCTCAGTTTAAAGCCAGCAGCTGGTTAGCTTAGGATAAAAACTGGACACGAGGGTAGCTTTACTCTTTCCACCGGTTAGAAAGGAACCTGCCTCCTAATACCTCTAAAGTTCATGAACACAAAAAGCCAAAGTGTATGAAATCAAGGTGTGCTTGTGCAGAGGTAAAACCAGGCAGCCATGTTTCTGATTGTGAATTTTATGCTAAGCTACTGTAACTGACTTCTTCCTCTGGATGAGCTAGATGGCTGTCCATCCCCACATTTGTGCAAAAACCAAAGTTTTCCCAAATGTTTGAAACACTCCGTGCAAAGAGATGGCAGTTCAGATGACGTTTACACAATCCCTCTATTTTTAGGACTTCTGGGGGTTTTATTGTTGTTGTTTTGTCTACATTCAGGGCTCGCGGTTGAATGGGTAAAAGTGTTGATAAAATGAAGGATCAGCCTTATGTGAATAGATGTGCCTTGATTTCTTGAATTGGTTCTACTCAAATCCATGCTGTCTGGTCTTCTTGTTAAAAGCAGGTGCGCTCGCTACCAGTGTTCAGAGAATGGAGCAAACGAGCACCTTCCACCCTCAGAGATGGATCCTGTACAATTTTACATGTTTAAACGCAGCACAAATAAAAGGAAAACTCCCATACCTTGGTGAAGACGTGCCGTTCTCAAACATACTTATCCATATTGCACACGTGCACATTTCTGAAATTGAGATCAAAAACTTGTTAGAAGTGTGTGACATGTAAGTTTTAAACCAAAATGCAATTAACTTGAGAGATATTGTCTTTTGTAAATTTAAACACCAGCATTCTTTTGCATAGGCTGCATACGGTTTCCTTCGACGGGCTGTGCGAAAGTATGATTATTCCAAAGGGGACGCTCTGTCTGCTAGTGTGGTCCTCACTTTGTGGATTTGTACTTCTCCTGTGGCTCGCTATAGCAGTGTGAGAGCGTGAATCTTGTACAACAATCTGTTCCTTAAAATAGATGGCTATATATTTTTAATCTCTATTTGATTTTTAGTATGACAAAAATGCTGCCTTTTGGCGTTGTTTTCCTAAAGACCTGCATAATGGTGTGCTACTGTGGTAGCACCGTGTCCTAGTGGGCATCTACCTTTGTAATAATGAAACATTAACAAATGTTGAGTTAAAAGGGTTGTGAATGTTGTGTAACCTTTTTTGGGGGAAAATAAAACATTTAAAAAAAAGTGTCTGCAGAGTTCAGTGTTGGTGCTGTAATTGGGTTAATGGTAGTAGCTTGTATAGAAAGTCACCACCAGGGGCCAACAAAGAAAAGCAGGCTACTTTTGACCTGCCTGTGAAAATATATCGTTACAGGTTATTTATGCTCTTTTTTCTTTTCTTTTTATCTTCACCTTTCCTTTTCACACAGGCTGCTGTGATACATCAGTCTGCAGCCTGCTGTATTCTGTTGACATATGGATTCAGATTGATGTAGTTTACCCAGCAGTTCTAGAGCGTGGAGCCATTTCACTGGGACTTGTCTGCGTTTACTTAACTCCATGTGCTTTCAGATCCCTCTGTAGGTTTTCACAATGATGAGCCCACCACACCCACAATTATACATTTGGCAGGATCCGGTTAATCCTCGGGGAAAAGCTTTGAGGATCTTCATCACAAAATCAGTGACATGTTTTATCTGCAGGCACAAATGAGGCCTTTCAGTGTCCCACGCCAACAAATGAAGTCTTGGGTCGGGGGCATGAGGTAAATGTTTTCCATTGCTGGGGGAAAAAAAGGAATCTCACATTTACGTTTTTGACTTTCACAAAGTAGGAACTAATTAATCGTTTTAAAATGCATTTTATATAATGTTTTGTTTTGTTTTTTTTTAGCTAAACAAAATCTTGGTATTTTGAGAGCATTTGAAATGTGAAACTTAAAATAATTGGGAAATTCCTATAGATTGGCTATGACATGCACTTCTTACCTATGACTACTGGGACAGGGTCAGGATGGATGGAAGTTATATAATGTTGTAATTGTTTGATATCAGATTAATCAAAATATCACCCCCCCCCCAAAAAAAACAAAAAAAAAACAACAACATATAAATAAATAAATCTAAATTCAATAACTTATAACAAATTTACAAATTTTAATGTGCACAGACTGCCTCTTTCCATAAATACATAGTCCCATAGTAATGAAGTATCTACATTAAAGCACAAGACCTATCGGTGACGTAACGAAACTAATAAAATGTTGTGTGGTTCCAACGGTAGCTACGTTTAATTTTACTGAGCGTTATAATAACAGCGTGTCACACAACCTTTGTTTGCAGTTTGCAAACTTAAGGAGTTAGGGAATGGCAGGCAGTGGACCAAACATCTGTGAGGTACATATGGGGGAGTCCGCCTTTAGAGAAACTTACACCCCCCCACCACCACTTCTGAAATACCTGAAATGGGAACCGCTTGTTTAGTAGCTGAAATAACAAATAATTAATGAAGTAAAAAAACAAAAACAAAAAAATTCATCCATGAGTGAAAATGATTAGCTTATTTCTGAAAAGTTCAAGTTAGAGTTATTTTAGCAAGTCGAAATTTTGAGAAACCTGTTTGTTTTTTTTACGGTAAACTAGCAACATGTTAACTTTTCAAGTTTTCCTTTAGAGAAGATGCGTTGTGTGAAGTGTCTAAAGCAGGGGTCGGCAACCCTAGGCACGCGTGCCACAGTTCGCACGCAAAGGGGTAAGTGATGGCACGACCGTAGCTGGACTGGCCATCGGGCATACCGGGCATTTGGTCGGTGGCCCCATGATTTTTATTTTTTTATTTCTGTAACAGTATAAACAATGAAAGTGGTGGACTGGCCAGATGCTGGTCGGTGTGTAAAAAA